TATCCGCGTTGATTTTCATCCCATCTTATTTACTCATCATTACTTTGTCTACCATCTGGCTTGTTGAACAGCACTCCTCTCATATCTTTCCATTCTTCGAATTGCACTCGCCAATCTAGGGATTGTTCTTTAACTTGAAAAATCGGATTTATTTGAATTCACTATTTAATCAATTAATTTTTTGAGTGCCCCAAACCCTCTCTTTTTTTTGTTTTAGCCTGGTGTTCTCTATGAATCTAGAGCGCAATCTCTCCTGTGAGCCGGAACAGCTAGTTAATCAGTTGTCCATCCTACGAATTGACGAGGGCCTTCTGGGTGGCGGGGATGGTTATTTCTCATTTCTGTCATTCAATTGCCTTACACCTATTAGGTTCTTCAAGGAAACCCCTTTTTGTGGATACCGAAAACAATATTACCTTTAGGCAGTATAAGTCGGAGAATGACCTCGAAAGCATAGTTCCCCTCATATCAAAGGACCTTTCCGAACCCTACTCCCTATACACCTATCGCTACTTCATCTACAACTGGCCTAGGCTGTGCCTGCTGGTAGACCCGACTACCTATATATGCATACAGCACTTTTATCCCTTTTAGGCTGTCAACGAAAGTGGCACATGTGTAGGCGCGATTGTTTGCAAACTTGACTATCACGAACAGGTGAAGCGCGGATACATTGCCATGCTGGCGGTGGAAAAGGAATACCGCAAAAAGGGCATTGGCTCTACGCTTGTCCAGTTGGCTATAAACCTCATGATTGAGGATGGCGGTCAAGAGGTGTGTACTTAACATGCTTTCTCAACGGCGGTGGTTACTTTTGGTGGTGCAATTTCGAGAATCTCGATCCATCCTATAGAATTTTGTGGCGGAAAGCCATGCTTGCAAATGACGTGTGAGTCATGCGTTATGCTGAACAGGCAGCATGGCTCCTGCAAGTTTTTGGATGTCATTTTGTTCCTCGGACTGAACACATTGTTATCCTCAGTTTCTGTTACGTTTGTGCCAACAGTATATTTCTCATTTGCTCATTGACCGATGACTCGGGAAATACCATACTCAGGCATAGTATTTATGCAATTGGGCCACAGCCGGGTGCACCTTCTGACTAGTTCTTTTCCGCAGTCGCATACCAAACCATGAAGCTGTTTCTCCATGGTGACTTTTGTAGGCGCATGACTATTTCTCACTTCGGCTGTGAAAGCGTTGGTTGACATCTCTGTCAACCGGTCCTTGCCCACATACGCAGTGATGCCTATAATTTGAGGTCGGAAGGTTCGGCGTTACCCTGTCCGCCTTACTGGCACTGTTGACCTTTTCTTGCAGTGATAGGTGCTTTTGGGTAAGGGGGTTTTCCATCATGGTGGGCCGTGCAGGTACAGACTCTAATCCAGCGCACTTTCCTAAAAGCTACGCCTTTACTTTTATCTTCTCTAGTTTGCTGTCTGTTTCCTTAATTTAATGTTAAACCAGTGTGCATCTCATCTACAGGTCGTGCTTGAAGCAGAGGCTACAAACGCACCCGCCCTTGCCCTGTATGAACAGCTTGGTTTCTCGCGCGACAAGTACCTCTTTCGTTACTACCTCACCGGTGTCGACGCCTTCCGACTCAAACTGTGGCTCGATGTTCCGCACTGTGAATAACTCCCTTTTTTCTCCTCTGAAATTATACTTAATTATACTCAATCATTTTTTCGAAAAACTATTTCACTAAGGGGCATACTGGAAAACGGATTCTTTTAAGTTTAACTAGTTCCATATTTTCGTTTTAGGGAGGTCTGGTACCGAGCACAAACAGCACTCCACTTGGCAAACCAAATATACGCATCACAATCATTTGTAGACAGTCTCAAGATCTGTTTGCGCTATACTTACAATCCTCAAGATGCTCCGTGAGCGACGAGTATTAACATAGTCCCAAGGGCGATAGCTGGTTGGTAACGAAAGTGGCCTTTTACAGCACTTAGCTTATCCTCTTGCTTCATATGTCGTACTCCATCTATATCGAAGTGGAGGCTAGAGATCGACATAAATGGAGCGGTTGAGTTTTATTTTGCGCGCATCATACACGTGCTACTTCTCATGGGCATGTAAGTCGTTTTGAAATGACCCGCTCTTTTATGGATAACAATTGACAGCCTCTTCCTCATTCCTGATGCGAACTCAGTTAACCTCGCAGTTGACAGTTTTCGAAGTCCTTCATTGCAAGTAGTTCGCAATGGATCGGCCCCACACCCATTCTGCTAACATGTCTGAGTCGGGCTGACTAATGATAATAAGCCCGCGCGCGATGACTGACGCACTCCGTAAGCAGCACGTGTCACACCCGTTTAGCCTGCGTTTAACGCAACAGCACGGTCCGCTCCGAGGACCGG